TCAGGCTATAAATAAGGATAATTACGCACAAGCGTCACAAGTAACTTGTTCTTAACGAAGTCGCAGTATGCCTAGCGTATGCAAAGCTCATTTCCTATAACTTTCAATAACAATGTATCACACGAATCCTAATAATAGAGAGCAATAGAAAATGTAGTTCGCAAGGCGATTGCGATGATACAAGCACAGAAAAAAAATCTCAAAAATGTAGAAAATTAAGGCTGAGTTGCACCACCTAACTTTGACCGTAACTATAACGATAACCGGTGCTTTTTGTATGGAGTTTGACTGATTTTTGACGTTTGTCAAAGTTAAAGTAAGATGGTGCAACCCAACCTTAGTGGTATAACTTCGCCAGCTAAAATAGGTTTCAGTATAAAAAGTAACGAAGTCAGTTTGTTACGGTCACAAAAATATTAGCATTAGCAGTAGCTTACTGTCATAGTAGGTATAACAGCACAACCGGGGGTTTAATGCAGATTGAGAGATGCGTTCTACTTGGCGGCTCTTTCACGTTAATTGCTAGATTGTTACATTTCACTTTAAATATGCGATATCCCAAGTAAACTACAGACGACAACACACATCCGCGCGCGAATTGGATGCAGAACGTCAGAAAGCAAAATGTTTGCATTCAATAGCCTAAAAAACTTTTAGTCGGTCAATAACATTATCAAAAACTATAGGACACTCATATTTTTAATCGTCAATCAAACAAGTAATTACGAAGTTACGGCGCGTTGAAGTTTCGCGTGACGTCACAAAGTGCTACAATTTAAACCACGCCTTGAAGACACGGGCCTCTTCTTTTGAACTTTATCTCTTTCAATTTTCATAAGTTTGAAAAAGTGAAAATTACGTGTAGAGTATTTTTGGATAAGTTTACTGATGGACTAATCGAAACATCCCAATTCGCGCGTGGACAATACATAAGATGGTGGTAGAAGGTTACCTGGTGTGGTCCATGCCGAGGAACACGATGTGCAGCATGAGCGGCACGTGGATGGACCAGTCCAGCTCCACGCCGTCCAGCACCACGTCGCACAGCAGCATCACCGCCACGTTGCATCTGGTAGAACATACGTCACTCAGTCATCTACGTCATTCCAGCAAATGACACCTCACTGCTTACGCCCGGATTCCACCAAGGCAGAGAAGTTTTTTTAATAACCAATCAGATTATATTACTTGCAAATAATAGAATTTGATTGGTCCGCTCCGCTTCGGCAGGAATGGATCAAGCGGAGAGGTGTCAGGCGCATTTGTTAATTTTTCGGCGCAGTGCGGAGAAGAGCGGAGCAGTGCGAAAATGTGCGGGACGGTGCAGTGTTTCATAGATAGCAATAAACATTATTTATTTATTTATTTAAGGATAGTACACAGCACAATATCAATCTGTAATAAGTTATTACAGATTGATTGGCCTACAAAATCTACTAAAAAACATTGTTATTACTAATAACAATGTTTTTTAGTAGATTTTGTAGGCCAATTATGACTATCTAACATTAAACATTTCTACATACCTTCTCGAGTGACAACCATTATGAATTTAAATATCCTTAATATAATTAGCTCACACATTTCCTCTCGTCTCCGCACCTCTCCGCTCGGCTTTGGTAGAAATAGCCTGCCAGCTTCGCCGCACATCTCTCGTCTCCACACCGATCCGCCTCGGTGGAAACCGGGCCCTAACATAAGGTTTCGAAGAACGCAATAAATTACAATCTGGCACTTTTTTCGAGACAGCTAAAATACTATTTTTGGTAAATGGGAACCAAACCGCCAATGTCGAGTGTATTTTTTTGATCGGTGTTTTGTTCTACCTATTGCTTTTTGTGGATTCTGTGGAGATAAGTATTCCAGAAGCAGGTTTCAACAAAGCGGGTTGTTCATATGATCACCGACCCGACCTCGATGCGCGCTCAAATTCGAGCTGTTTAAATGTTTTCATATATTTAACACTTCACCGCACTTTAGAACACAAAATAACACCGAATTTGTACACAAAGGTCTATTAAATAATAAATTAAAACTATTAACAGATCGATCATGCTTCCCGTCAACTACCCTCCACGGAATCGTCTCAACTTACTATCCGTTCGCTTTAAGTTTGCCGCTGGCGAAATGATGTCGCTCGAAGGGAAACGTCTATAACTATAATAAACTATACATATTTAAAATATTTTACAAGCTTTATATTGACTTCACTTGTTAGTATGTGTGGGACAAATCTTGCAACTGAATTTAAGACCACTTCTCCTCAACCGATTGAGTTGAAATTTGGTATACTTATGGAAGTACGATGACAATGCAATATTATGGTACCATTGAGCTGGTCTGATGATGGTGACGGAAGGTGGCCATAGGAACTCCTAAACAAAACGGCGGAAACTCATCGAGTTTGGGTTCGTTGGAATTGTCTTTTCGAGCACTTTAGTGTTAGATAATGTCCAGGGTCCTGAGATTAAGATATAGCTAAAAAGTGTAAAATAAAATTATAATAAAAATAAACTTTTTTTAAAACAAGCTTTTATTCTGAATTTCGAAAGCTTGTAGCGCAAACAGAGAAAAAGAGGAATAAATTCCATGCGCGATACAAGCTTTCGAAATTCAGAATATAAGCTCGTTTTAAAAAAAGTTTATTTTTATTTTATTTATTAATATTGATAAGAATTGTATTTTGCGCAAAATAAGACACATTAATTGCGTTTAATCACTAATTGCCTTTAATCGCGGTTGGGGGAGGGGACGCGCATTCCACGGACCGGCAAACTTAGCGCGAACGGGTAGTAGACATAATAATTTTAGCTATGTAATGACAACATCAAGTAACCTTTCGAGGAACGCCACAAAAACTAAACTAAGCTCCCGCGTATTTACAAGTCAAGGATCGATCCAAAATTAGTTGTCGTCATCATTATTTTAGTCAACGACAGTCCCCAAGGAGCGCTACAGAAACGCGATCTTCCGCTTTTTTCATTCAGCCGCTAGTATAAGGCGTGGAATACATGTGCAAACGCTGAATTCATTCAGCACTGACTCGAATTAATTTCTAAAACTATGCCTGTTGTTAAAAACTTCATGTTTGGGCAATCAAAATATCGATTTCAGGCTTATACCGACTGTCGACTTTTTGCAAGCAACATCAAAACGCTGGATCAGTCTAAGTGCCCCCTTCAACCCGTTAGCGCTAAAACTGTCTGAAGTGGACAAACGAATATTTCGACCCTCTTGATAACATGTAACGTATTACTCTTTCCTTTCTTTTGTTTACTTTAACTGATTTTATTCAGGCTTTTGCCAAATCAACCCTAACATTTTTGATCTTTTGTGAAATAAAACTTTTTTTAACGTATATTCATTCACACGATCCTTGTTAACGTCTCGTGGAACTTTTTATTTGTTATGGGTTAGGAGTTTTTTAAAAGTTTGATCGTTAAAAATATGCTTTTGAGATTCCGAAGAAATATGTAAAATAAATAAAAATAAGATCTAAGTAATCCGTGCGCTGCTCACGGTAGCATAAGAAACATTTTGCGAACTTACCTATTCTACACTCCCACCTTGTTTAAAGTTGTACAAACATCGCGTTAAGTATTATTTCCAAGTTTATCAGCGAGCGATATCTTGGTTTCCAGTTGCAGTGCATTTGAAATGTTACTGCTACAATAATAAGGTGCAATGTAAAAATGTGTTCGTTGTATCGACTAACACTGATGTTAAGATTAGACGGTTCGAACTGGCAGTTTGTGCACTGTGAAAATTGAAAAGCTACTTCAGAAGTTAAAATTAAACCGCAAACACGATTCAGTTACGTGTTACATCGCGATTATTTATTCTAAATTGGGAGCCAATATCAAAGCTAGTTAAAAATTTTAAGAGAATACAATGATAGTTCATCTCAAAGCTTATTTATTGTACAACTCCCCATCGTAGATGAAATTTTCCATGATACTCGAAAAAACTATCCAATAAAATGAAAAATCAGCATTGACAAACAAATTAAGGCCACGTACACGCGCACATTTTTCGTGTTCATTCCTGTGTCAATTTGTATATTTCCGACTATGTTAAAATCCATAGGGTCACAGGATTCCATGTACCGGGAATAATATAGCGACGACCCGAGCCTTTGTTAGTTTGTCAGCTTTTGAAATCACATTTTCTTATTTTATTTATTTCACATATTACACAGGGTGTAGCTTTTATAACAAAAATAGCAGTGGTGTAAAAAGATGCTTCATCCAAATGTTCCACATCAAAACCACTTCATAAAAGTTCATCATAAAGTAATATAAAAATTTTTACACGATACACGCTGTATTGTTATCGTATAAAAGCAATGTCCGTTTAGCAATAAAAAACGCCCTCTCTACAGCCAGGCGCGAGTTAAATTCATCTTTCCCATACATTAAGGGTAGCCGTACACCCCCATCGGCCACCGACATGCCAACCCATAGGTTTGACCATGTAATCAAAAAATATTTCATCAACGCAGTTTAAAAATCCTATTTTCATGAAACAATTAATTACTAAAATTTCATTAAAATGCAAAAAAATATTTACCAATTAATTTGAAAACCTTTTCCGAGTGCTGAGAAAAGCAATGAGCTCGCGGCTTTAGGTTGCTATGGAGCTAAAAGAGGTCGCCCGGGAGAACCCTCGCCGGAGCCAGTACGAGTTGGCAACCCGAGCAGAACGCACGTCCGTTGGCGCCGGATTTGGCGCCAAGTTCCGCGACTTAGCTCGCAACCAAGCAGGTTGCAAAATTGCAGTAAAAACTGTTAGCTCAAATAAGGGATAAGCCTGTATATTTGTTTATAATGACCATTTTAATATTTATGTAATTAAAAATATTTGATTTCATGTAGCAAAAAAGAGCAGATACCTTAATGCAATCTACACACCAAACCCGCCGACATGAGTCGTCGACTTATGACAAGTTGTCAAAAGTCATAATTAAGTACAAGTCTTCGACATTTTTTTTTAAAACAGCCGCCGGTCTTGGTGTGTTGAGTAGTTAAAGTTTCAGACATGAAGCGGATAGATGCCGCTCGGGAGAATCCACAGGACTAGCCAGTATTCTTAAAACTGTGAGGGGGAATGCACGTCTTGTGCTGAAGAAAAAGGCGGGAAGATCCGATCCTAAGCTCGTGAACCAAAGCCTATGCATGATTGTTGCAACAAATACTTTTCCAAGCTAAGTTTGGTCTTTGAGGAGATATTAATAAAATAACATGATTGGTCACTGGTAGTTTTAATTCAATTGACCTTTTTCTTATTTCAGGAATATGCAGCACGGCTGAAAAGCAATTTGGCGCTTCAACTTTATAAAATCACGGATTTTAAGAAGAACTTGTATTCATTACTTTATAAAAATGTTCGAAAGTTAAGATTAAAGATTTAACTGTGCTGATGTGATTAATTTTCGTCATACCTAAATCCGAATTGTTGTACAAGATTCCTTGCATTGAAGTCGATTGCAACTTGTGCATTGGTTATTAAATTGAAGCCGTATTTCGATCTCCAGGATTCGCAGTTAGATTGCAGTTTACAATTAGGTTAGTTGTGGTCAGGACCGACCTGCCACAATGTATGAAGAGCTACTTTGTTAACGGGATCGATTTGCCATACAAACTGAATGCTAATTTTGATTGGAGGTCTCCAGTTAGGAGATCGCAGGCTCGAATTTGTCGGTCATTTGATAAGGTATATTTGAGCCATTCCGTGCCGCGGCGTACAAGAAGCCCAGTCACTGGGACTGTTTCGTCAGTGTACTTAAGTCACGACTATGGAGGCTCATAAACTAACTTAAGATATGATTGGGACAGTAGGGCAACTTTCTAGATAGGGCGAAATTGAATAGATTCGTTCACCGTTCTTGGTCATGGGAAGTGTTGGCCGTTCATGGGACTGTTTTGCCGTGTGTGTCTCACCTGTGGAAGCCAGATATGGGCTGGTTGTTGTCGGGCAGAGCAAAGAGCAGTCGTACCTGGTCATGGGCAGAGTGTCCCAGTCATGGACCCACGCCCATTCATGGGACTGTTTTGCCGTGTGTCTTACCTGTGGAAGCCAGATATGGGCTGGTTGTTGTCGGGCAGAGCAAAGAGCAAAGGTCATGGGCAGAGTGTCCCAGTCATGGGCCCACGCCCATTCATGGGACTGTTTTGCCGTGTGTCTCACCTGTGGAAGCCAGATATGGGCTGGTTGTTGTCGGGCAGAGCAAAGAGCAGTCGTACCTGGTCATGAGCAGAGTGTCCCAGTCATTTTCCCACGCCCGTTCATGGGACTGTTTTGCCGTGTGTCTCACCTGTGGAAGCCAGATATGGGCTGGTTGTTGTCGGGCAGAGCAAAGAGCCGTCGTACCTGGTCATGAGCAGAGTGTCCCAGTCATTTGCCCACGCCCGTTCATGGGACTGTTTTGCCGTGTGTCTCACCTGTGGAAGCCAGATATGGGCTGGTTGTTGTCGGGCAGAGCAAAGAGCCGTCGTACCTGGTCATGAGCAGAGTGTCCCAGTCATTTGCCCACGCCCGTTCATGGGACTGTTTTGCCGTGTGTCTCACCTGTGGAAGCCAGATATGGGCTGGTTGTTGTCGGGCAGAGCAAAGAGCCGTCGTACCTGGTCATGGGCAGAGTGTCCCAGTCATGGGCCCACGCCCATTCATGGGACTGTTTTGCCGTGTGTCTCACCTGTGGAAGCCAGATATGGGCTGGTTGTTGTCGGGCAGAGCAAAGAGCCGTCGTACCTGGTCATGAGCAGAGTGTCCCAGTCATTTTCCCACGCCCGTTCATGGGACTGTTTTGCCGTGTGTCTCACCTGTGGAAGCCAGATATGGGCTGGTTGTTGTCGGGCAGAGCAAAGAGCCGTCGTACCTGGTCATGGGCAGAGTGTCCCAGTCATGGGCCCACGCCCGTTCATGGGACTGTTTTGCCGTGTGTCTCACCTGTGGAAGCCAGATATGGGCTGGTTGTTGTCGGGCAGAGCAAAGAGCCGTCGTACCTGGTCATGAGCAGAGTGTCCCAGTCATTTGCCCACGCCCGTTCATGGGACTGTTTTGCCGTGTGTCTCACCTGTGGAAGCCAGATATGGGCTGGTTGTTGTCGGGCAGGTACTCGGTGAGCAGCGCGAAGAAGCCGCCGTATTCGGGCATGGGCAGCGGGCGCGGCTGCGGCGGCTCGCGCGTCTCCAGCGGCGTCGCCGGCGCGCTGCCGCCCGTCGGCGTGCCCGCCAGCTCTGGGCACAGGCCCGTCTGCGGGCAAACAACTCATAAGCAGGGTACTCATCTAGCCGTGCAGCATGTAATGTATCAGATACTGTATCAAGTGAGTACATAGGCACGAGCCCGCTACGAGCTGCTCGCGCGTGGTTCGCAGGGAGATCGTAGCGCCAAGTGGCGGTATCACTGCGAGCACAAAGGCGGCTCGCAGTAGGATCCAGGAGCACGCAGCCAGTTACGCGATGACCGGGGACGAGCCGTACCTACTCACTTGAAGCTTGGTTCCGTTACATGCTACGTTACGTGCTACATGGCAGGTGAGTACCCTTACCATAAATACCCGAGGACATTTTACACTGCGCCATTCAGTCCCGAACTAAAAAAAGCTTATACAGTCAGCGTCAAATAGTACGTAGCCAAAAAGTTCTCAACAAGTCTTTGTTACAATTGGACTAAGGTTGTGTTGTCAACTTACAGGCCACTTACTTTGAGTGTCACGAACTATTTGATGCTGACTGTACTATGGGCACCAGACGACGGTTAAAAACATAAATATATTTTTTGCTTAAAATACATAAAAAGGCCAGACCAATATGCAAACAATTTCTATTATGTCGGGATAACCTTTGATTTATAGTAGTAATGCGGTACACGAAGCATTAAGCCAAAGAAAACAAATAATTGGGTTTAATTGGTCACCTTGATAGTGCTTTTTCATTTAGTCGTTTTATTTTCATTCAATAAATCGGCTTGTTTCTCTTGTTTTTGATAATAATAATAAATAATAAATAATAATAAAATCTTTATTTAAGCAAGACAGATTTACAAAAAACGGAATGACAGTCTTAAGCTAATTACATGCTATGGTGGATTGTGAAGAAGTGTTGGTAGCGGTTCTCGCACTAGGTATGCACCTGTATCGCGAGAAACCAAGTAACATTTTGCCAATATAGTAGTTGATGTAGTCCAATATAGTATTAACAGGGTTTGTTATTGATTGACCTCTTAGATTTAATAGAAAAGTCCACCAGTCCTTATTAGCTCACACCCCCAACGCAACCTTGCTTCGTTTACGGCCCACTCTCTCTTATTTTAGGCTACTGCAATACTGGGTTGTCTCTACTCTCTCACATTTATAAATGTTAAGGACACGTGCTAGAAAGCTATCTATCATTAATTTTATAAGCTTTATCGTTCGTCTTTTTTTTTATAAACTTGACCTTCATTGGTTAGGTTTTTATGGCGGTCAAGCTGTAGATCCTGGCTACACAGGAGTTGCAGTGGTGGGAACGAATAATCAACAAAAACAGAAGCAGTTAAATGGTAAAGAACTTTTGTCAAGTTACTCTTAAATAAGTGAACCATGAAAAAAAATCTAATGAGAAAAAAATACATTTCTTTTTCGTTTCGTGTTTTATAAGTTACTCCAACCATATTGACACGAAGAGCTTCTTGAGGAAAAACTAAGTTATTAAATAAATTATGTGCTTACGAGTAAAGTCCTCTTGAATGAAGCCAATAACAGATCTCTAGAAACGCGGGATTCAATTAATTCGCTATTGATGAACTTTACTCAGGATCACTGTGTCCTTCAAAAACTTGGATGACTAATTTTAGAGTCGGGTCGGGAGTAGTGTCCTTAATAGTAGTTAGTTAATAAACTTTGTAAGCACGATGGTTACGCTTTACTGACTTACGACTAATCAATAACAAGCCCTTATCATTCATTGCTACTTTAATTTATTTTATTTGTCGATAGACCTTTTGTCGATATAATGAGACTTGAAATTAGGGACATAGTATGTTAAGTGTTAACGGAATGAAAAAACAGATTTACACTTTTAGGAGTGTTTAAATTCTTCTCTCCATGACATTTCTATCTTTTTCGTGTCAAAAACGTGCATTAATTTTCTGGTGCAGTTACGTAAAGTCACGCACACATGTCCAGCTTAGGGGTTTTCGGGGTGGTGACAGGTAATCTGTGCCAATTCATTTACCACTAGGTGGCCGGACTGATCGAGTGATTAGCACGCGCGGCCGAGCTAACGAGCGCGGCACGCTTGCCTTCACTTCGCAAAATATGAGCTGGGAATCTCACCACACTTGCTGTTTACGCGTACATTTAGAAAATATGATTCGAAATATTCTTTAGACCTTTGATAAGGGCTGTACGAGTTTCTAATGTGTATAATTTCACAAGATCGGGTAATTACATAAGTGAAATGAATCAATTCCAATAATTAAGTCATGGCGTGTCGTAAAGTGGTTCTACTTCTCTTTGATTAAGTATCGCAGGATATAGATTTACGAAACAATAATACGGAAACACGTTTCCTGGGAAAAGTAATCTGTAGTGCCGCGCTCGCCAAATCGCCTGCCAATCATGCCGCGCGGTAATGCTCCTCAATCACCATCGTCTTTCCGCAGATATCCTCATTTCTAGTTTATCTCACAAAGGAGCCTAACATAACTTTCCATAGTATGTAGTGTTGTTAAAGTAACAAGTTTTCTAAAAAAATATTTTATTGATTATGTACAGAACATTCAACTAGTTGTTAGGTCTGTATCTATTGGACTGGGATGACAAACGAAAGGTAGACTGGATCAAAATGTATGTTGATAGCATATCGCCCAACAAGAAATCAAATGTTTTTTTTTTTTAATTTGAAGGCAATTGATGGAGTACTGGGTTGGAAATATGATGAAGGGTAGGGTAGGGACCTTAAATGCCACTATCTTCGCTCAGGTGCTTTACCCTAAATTTAGTGGAATACACATACGAGGGCTGCACTAAAAGTATCGGGAATGGAATATTTCCACTGTTCCAGTCATATTAAAATCTATTTAATTGCAAACTCCAGGGTTTTAAAAATCGTATACCATTTATTTATCTAAAAAAAGATTCTCGGTCGTATCACAAGGTCTTGTCAAACTTGTTTAGTCGTTGAGAAAATGGAATTGACTCGAGAAAATTCAAGAGCGATGATTTATTATGACTTTTGAAGTGGTTTAACACAAAAACAGTGTGTTGACCGGATGATTTCTGCATTTGGTAATGAAGCCCCATCCAAAACCACAATTTATCGCTGGTTTATTGAATTTCAACGTGGGCGTGTCAAGTTCAGTGATGATCCCCGTCAAGGTCGTCCAAAAAGTGCAGTCACCTAAGAAAACGTTGATGCTGTGCGTAAGCTGATTGAAGAAGATCGACATGTGATATACTGCGAAATTCAGGCAACTTTAGACATTGGCATGAGTCAAATACAAATAATCTTGCATGAACAATTAGGTGTAAAAAAGTTGTTTTCCCGATGGATACCGCATTCGCTCTGTGAAGATCAAAAAGCGGCTCGCGTTACTTGGTGCGTCAGAACTCTCGGGAGATTACATGCAGGATCCTCAAATGCTGTATACAACATCGTATCAGGTGACGAATCATGGATATACGCGTACGAACCCGAAACAAAAAACCAGTCACGAGTTTGGGTGTTCGAAAATGAATTAAAGCCAACAAAAATTGTTCGTTCACGGAGTGTTGCAAAAAAAATGGTGGCCACTGGCCACGTTTGTCTCCAAAACCGGCCATGTTGCGACTATTCCTCTTGGGGGACAAAGAACGGTTAATGCAGATTAGTATGCTAGCATTTGTTTGCCACAGGTCGTTTCTGAACTCCGTAAAGAGAACTGCAACCGCCGCATCATCCTCCATCACGACAATGCGAGTTCTCACACCGCGCACTGAACAAAAGAGTTTTTAGAGCAAGAAAACATTGAATTATTAGTCCATCCGCCGTACAGCCCCGACCTAAGCCCTAATGATTTCTATACATTCCCTAAAATTAAGAATAAATTGCGTGGTCAGAGATTTTCATCACCTGAAGAAGCTGTGGAAGCCTACAAAACGGCCATTTTGGAGACCCAAACTTCCGAATGCAATGGTTGCTTCAATGATTGGTTTCGTGTATGGAAAAATGTGTCAATGTTCGCGGAGAATACTTTAAAAAGCAATAAATACATTTTTAAATAGTAACGTTGTTTCACTTCCTTGATTCCCGAAATTTTCAGTGCCGCCCTCGTACACCATCATGACCACTGGCAAGAGAGTAACGACGAATAACAGCAAACAAAAATTAAAATGTAAACAATTAAAATATACAATTTTAAATAATTTATAGTTTTAAGGTTAATTTTGTATTTCTCTTGTAAGTGGATGTAATTCTTCTAGAGAAATTTAATGTCTTAAACCATAATAAAGAAAGAAGGGGAGTGGAATAAACCTTTGAATACAAGCTGATGGCATATCTCCCAACAAGATCAGCATCTTCTCTATAGCAGAAAGACTGTTGCGACTTACCGGCGTGGCATCTCCGTCAGAGGGCGGTGCGGGCTCGTCTTCGACGGGCGGCGTGACGCAGGGCGGCGCGGACGCACGCTTGTCCTGCGCGCGCGCGCCTGGCGTCTCCGGCGCTTTGGCTCCGCTGCAACAAACGCGGATTATAACAATAAGAAGCAACTGCACTCAGGAGGATTTGATGAGTGCTGCTGACAACGCCACTCTTGTGGCGGAGTTTTGGGCTGACACTGTGTAGGTTTGTTGTCGACACGAAAAGAAGAAGAAGAAGGATAAGAATAACTTTATTAACACACATATAACAAGACAATACAAAGGTTACATTTAAAAGAAAGAAATGTATGTTAGAACGCCCGCTCAGTTTTAGATGGGACACCTTGTAGGATGTCCCTGCATCCCTTCCGGCGAGCCTGGTGTTAGAGAAGAGGAAACAGAATAATTAAGTTGATTTATATTTATAAATTAATACAGCATAGAAGGGAAACGCAACAACTATTAGCCGCGGGGAATTTATTATGTAACTAGCTGTGCCCGCGACTTCGTCCGCGTGGAATAATGACTTTGGGTAGGCACTTTTAATAATTTAGTCTAATTATTTTACAAATAGCTTTTGCCCGCAACTTCGTCCGTGGAGAAGTCGAAAACGTTCTCATACGATTATTTTTAAATGTTTTAACGTTATTATCTAAATGTTTGAATACTTTTAAAATATAAAAATCAGGTTAAATAAACATGAAAATATTTTTTTCTTATATTTTATGAATATGCAGCTCGGCCTTTGATCCGGTGAAAGTTACTCGGTGGTATTATTTTTTTACAACGAAATCGAAAACTACACCTACCGCAGTATTATTGGTAAACTTTTTTTTATATTTTCCTACGGGTGCTAGAATCACCAAGCTTCCAGCATGCCACTGGCCGTGGGAGAAGGAGCTTTTCCTCAAGACTACTCCCACTACCTCAAGGGCCTCCGCCAAAACTCTCGCGCGAAAATGAGTTTATGTATACAGCGCAAGCAGGTGCCCGCGGCATGACTTTCATGCATTACTATGCATTGTTGGGCGAGCGCACGCAGCGGGCACCCACTCCGAGGTTAAGTGGAGGCCCCTAGAGTATGGTAGTCGTTAACATGACGTCATGATTGTAAAAAAATGCACTAATGAGTAATTAATATCAACTTTGAAGCAAATCACCACTAAAATAACTTTCTACCCCTTTTTAACATAGTTAGGGGGTGCATTTCACTAAAATACGAAACACGTCTTCCATTAATTCTGTTATAGAATGCTTATGCAAAATTTTAAGTAGATTGGACGAAGGAATCTCGTTATTTCATACAAACTTTGCCCCTCCTTTTTACCTCCTTAGGGGTAGAATTTTGGAAAATCCTTTCTTATCAGATGCTTACGTCATACAAAGAACACACCGTCCAAGTTTCAGGTCTTTACGATCAGCGGTTTAGGCTGTGCATTGATCCATCAGTAGCGCGCGTAGTACTTGATCATTATTTTGCTGCGATGTGATTTTAAAACTGCGATATCTCCTAAGATATTTATTGAAATCGAATGGTGTAAAGGGCAAGAATGTTTAAAATTAAATACTTGTGGTGAATAATTTATTTATTTGGATAAGGATTAATATCATGTTTATAAAAACACCTTCGCAAATAATGCATTATTTTAAAACAGATTTTTTTTGCATAAAAATGGTTACTATGAGCCAACCTTAAAAGATAGACATATGCTACCCCGGACTTTTTTAAAGAACTTTTAAAGGGGAACAATCCTGTCATACATGATTTTTGCGAAACTTTAACCGTTTACGCAGCGTCAGCTCTCAAAAGGAAAAAATTCACTGATTTGAAATATTCTTGATTGGTGCTCCGCTCCTATTGGTCTTAGCGTGATGATAAATAGCCTAAAGCCTTCAGGAACTAACGGGCTATCCAACACAAAAAGAATTTTTCAAATCGGTCCAGTAGTTCCTGAGATTAGCGCGTTCAACCAAACAAACAAACAAACAAACAAACAAACAAACAAACAAACTCTTCAGCTTTATAATATTAGTATAGATACTTATTCTAATTAGACATAAATAATCATGAGCATCTGAATGATGCGATGATGGTAAGAATTTAGAGCAGCTGCTTTTTAGATACAAGTGACCGCCAGAATTGACCTTCAAAAGTAACGAATGAGTTTTACAATTAATTTCGTATCGGTTTAGCTCACATTGAGCCTGCAAGTGAAATCGATCTTCAACTTGTGGCGATAGCTGGTGACCTAATTAATACGACGCCTACTGCTTTTGGCTGAGCTCAATAGCGGCTACTTGTGGCATAAGGCATCGATGGTTGCTTTTCCATTATATTTTAATTATATTTTCCAGAAGTTAAGAAACGTATAAAGTACTACTGATTTCACAGTGCCTGATTTTAACCAACCATAAACCATCAAAAGTTTACGCTGATTAATTAACTACAAAAATCCTTCAATAGAATTCTCTCGGTTTTCAACAAGAAACATTAATTTATTAGAGCTCTCTATTCAGTAAATGTTAACCCTGACTTTATACCTGGTAGATAGAGAAGTCCATTACCGTAAACTAATGAAACTAGATCCGAGCCCGATATGACCCAGTGACATGAAAGCATGAAGCGAATTTGTGCAAGGCAGCGTACCGGCCGAGTTGGCCGCTGCACACGGCCACACATTAGCCGGAGTAGACTTACAGCTAGTGAACGCCAGACCAACGTCATTTTATAAAAGCTGAAAGTTTCTCAGCGTATGGGTCATCGTGGCTTTGAAAGCTACCCAAAAAAGATTGTCTGGCAAGGAGTTGAAACTAGACTTAACACCAGGTGCGATCGCGGTCAAATACGAGTACCTGCCTTGTCATGCATAAAAAAATTGGCTCTAAAGTTATGGACAAATATAACTGAACGAAAGTACGAGTACCTATATTTACTATTGGTTCGCATTTTCGTATTTCTACCCAAAATACACAAGCTTACCCTGAATGATATTAAGCGCAATATTTATTGTGCGAGCCTACGTGAGCAAATAATGGGCCAATAACAAACAACTAACAACACTCATGCCTCCTCATAATAATCGACTGAGTGAGAAACTTCCCGGATTTGTTGTTCACACAAATATAACAAGGTAAAGCTGTTTGCAATTATAAAAAATAGGCGTTGAAGATCGACTAAATACCTATTCACATAACTAGTATCTGAATTTTTAACAATAGCACGTATTGTTTAATTTAAAATGCAAGCATAATTGAAATCGTAACATTTGTTGACCCGCAGGCAGACATAACTATTTCAACCTGGAATTCCTGTCAAAGGTTAACAACTTGTAGGTTCACTATGTTGACATTTAGTTGTTTAGCTTACGACTTCAATCGACTGCACGCCATTAGGCTCACTTCCTTCCGAGCCACCTCCGCATGTAACCTTTCACCGTGAACCTGGTAACATTTAACAAGTCGGAAATGTGCTCGAATATGTCCATATGTGGCATTTTCATCTCGATCGTCCGGGGCGTGGATCAATGTCATTTGGCCACAATTCCCGGTCGCCGCCCGAAGCACGCCGATGAGATTAGCCGGTCAAAGGCATGAATAGATTGTTCATCTCCAAATAGGATGCATTGCTTGTTCAATTTACCATTGTTAGTGTGTGTAAGTTTGTTATGAAAATGTTAACGTTTTTGTAAAGATCAATTACTTACTCGTACTTACTAAAGACACTATAATTATTATACTCGTATAAACTGTTTATCGGAGTAAGTTATATGGATTCTCACTAATAACGAGGGGTGCCCATTCCCGCTTCCCACATGATATAGGTAAGGGTTGTTATTATTATTGCCCAACTAGTTAACCTTGAACTTGGATTAAATCCGTTCTTTGACGAACCGTAATCCAGGAGAGAGGGAGAAAACTCGTTTAAAGATAATCCGGCAATTTGTGAAAGCGTACAGTAAAATAATTGCACGCTTTATAAGGGCGCTGGGTCATCCTCCGCAGGTGTTCTTTGCAATAAAAAACGCACACAACGGCTTTCATGGACTTTTGCAAATTTTTATCTTCTGTGCAAAATGTTCGTTAATAAATAAAAGAACGGAGCTGTTCGCCATTGTACTCTCCTTTGCACACACACTCAATGGACAACACGCATAAGTTGTAATATTAAGTTAAATTATGACTTAATTTAAAGTTTAGATCACACACATTACACTAGTTTTTATTTCACCTCAATCCATCCAGTATTACCGAAGATAGAGCCTCGAGAAGTTTACGGACTTTTTAAAATTTTCAAAAATTTCCAATATTCGCGCGTGACGTCACAACATGATTTTGCAGCCCCCGCACGTTAACCCATTTAGCACTTTTTGTCTTTTTCCAACTAAAATAAAATTTTACCTAACTGACAACTGTTGTTAGTTGTCATCGTTCAATCACATTTCAAACTATGCGCTATAAAAGTAACCATTATTATGCCACCTATCGCCAATTTTGTGCACTATGAAGCCATTTTTACATTTATGCACTTAAATATAAATTTTCTGGAAAAATAACCAAGTTTGTGTCTCTGTGCTCAATAACGAGTAAATAGTCCAGTTATTTGTTAATTTTACTTGGAAAGTTTTCCGGAATTTTTGAAAATTGGTGAATAAATAGATTTCGCTATGTTCTTTCCGAATTTTGTGACCTCGTTTATAGCCGCGCGCGCGCCCGCCTTATTGAAAAAAATCCGCCTTAAAAAGGTTTTTGACAACTACTTTTTTCATTTTATAATTTTTGGGACATAGACAAGCTAAGAAGCTTTGATAAATGTGATAAATTTCATGTAATGTAAGTTAAATAGATTTAGAGTTGTGAAACAGTCAAATTAATGTACCTGCTAAATTGCGAGTTCTTTTTTCTTTGATCATGGCAGGACACGCTGCCGGGTGTCCTAAATATGCTGAAGTATAAAAAAATTCGCGTTGCTGAAGTATACTTTTTTTTTTTCTTGTTTGTTTCTACATTACATAATTGTATCCTACTATTATTATAAATGCGAAAGTTTGGATGTCTGGAAGTTTAAAATAAAGTAAAGTAATGTTTATTTCTCAC